TTTTGTGAGAGAATGGGCACAAGTGAGCGAGGGGCGGGGGGGTGGGGGGAGAGAGAGAATCCCATGCAGGCTCCGCACTGTCAGCACGGTGCTCGAACTCACCCAGCTCGGGGCTTGAACTCACGAACCATGAGATCATGAGCCGAAGTTGGATGCTAAACCCACTGAGTTGCCCAGGTGCCCCGGGGTTTTGACTTCTCAACCTTGAGGCGCTACAGGCAGGACTGCTGAGACTTGAGGAGCCACCTCAGTCTGACGGCCTCCGTGTTTAGTGAGCTTAACACACCAGGTGCCCCTTTCCTTACAAACACCTTCAGTCCTCCTCCCTCTCTCCCTCTGTCACGCCACCTGTAAAATTCCTAACCCTCTCCAGGAGTTCTACGCTTTCACAAGAGTGGGTGGAAGCTGCTGGAGAAGAGAACACAATCCCGAGGCCCCCTTTCAATGAACGGCCCTGGAGCTCGCGGGCTCAGGCCCTACACAGCCTTGCGAGCTTTGCAAGAACCTCTCCAGAAACCTCTCCGTTCCCACCCGTATGCGCCTTCCTCGCCATCCACTCTCACCCAGGGACCTCATCGTCACAGAGACTATGTGCAATCCCGTCTCATGTTGACAATCCCCTGGGCCACACTCGGGCCCAATCCAAAGGGCCCTTTTGACGGCCGGCCCCGTCCAAAGTCAATTGCCTCTGGAAAGCTTCTTCCTCCCACTGGGTCCTTTTCTCCAAGAACCTGTCCAGCAACGTCCTCCTCATCTTCTGTGCAATGCAGCCCTCTCTCTTTGGCCGTTCTCTCCTGCATAAAAAACACCAGCTTTTTATTTTATTTTTTATTATTTAAAAAAAGTTTTTAATGTTTATTCTTGAGAGAGAGGAGAGAGAGACAGAGTGCGAGCGGGGGAGGGACAGAGAGAGAGGGGGACACAGAATCCAAAGTAGGCTCCAGGCTCCGAGCTGTCAGCACAGAGCCTGACGTGGGGCTGGAACCCATGAACAGGGACATCATGACCTGAGCCAAAGTCAGATGCTTAACCGACTGAGCCTCCCAGGCGCCCCCAACACCAGCTCTTTCAAAAAACCCCTCTTGACTGCCCTCCCTCCCTCCTTCTCCACTCCAGCTTCTTCAAGGAGCTGACTCCGCCAGCTGTCCCCACGCTTTCCTCCCCCACCAT